ATTGAAATTATTTAAATTTCAAATTAAAATCTTTTGAAGTTCATCTATTTATGAAAATTGTAAACGCAACTCTTTTAAAATTATTAAATTAATTTTGAAATTTTTAAGTAAAATTAGATTTCAAGAACAAACACAATAACTTTAGAAAAGAATAATTTTCCAGGATTCCGATAAATATTCCCTGCCATTTCCAGGTTTGCCAGGTTTTTAGGTTGTGTGGCAACCCTGTTAATCAAAAAACGAAAAAAAAAATTGAAAAAATAATTAAAAATCTATTTGTAAAAATAAACAAACAAACAGATGGAGAAAAATTGATAAAATTGTACCAAAGAGAAATTTATAATATGGTAATGGTGAATTATCGTGTTTGAAATCCCTTTTGTGTTACAGTAACACTTAAGTTTTACAAAGTGTATCCCCTGATTGAACGTGTATCAATGGTGAAACCTGTAATTTATGTTATATTATGCAATAGTCTGTTGTGTTAACTGGCGCTTTGACGAAACTTGCATTTTGCGCAATGAAGGATAATAAACGAAAGGATCAACGGAATTGGAGATTTTAATTTATCGCCTTTTGGTCCTTTATTGCACAACATGTAATAAACGGACGGTCAAGGTGATGTGTTCACTTCTTCGATGTATACCCTTTTTATGTATCCAATTATCTTTCTTAATTTTATGTAATTAAGACCTTTTTTCTTTTTTTCGGTCCCTTTTCCATTCGAATGGTAAATTTCAACAAAGTGGAGATTGGAGTAAGAAAAGTATTGTTTGAAACTATGAAAACAACTTAAAGAAAATGAATTTTTATAAACTAGCAAAACAAAGCAAAGAAATCCAGCAATGTTTTGTTCTTTTCTCCCCCTGTTTTTTTATTCATGATTCTTAAAAAAAATTCTTTTTTTTTAAACTTAGTATTGACAACTGTCAATTGTAAATAAACAATTGACATTGTTTATAATTTTTGTCTCGTCCAGCGTTAATTAATAAGCAATCCTGCCTTGTTAGAAATTGACTACATCCCTATCAAAAAGAACTTTGGAAACTTTATACTTTATAGGACAAAAAACATCCCAGAAACCGGCCTTACTTAATCAAAAACCCAATTCTAATTAAAAATTATGAAAATTTTTCCTTCATCCAAAAGAACCGAATGGAAGTATTCAGTTCTTTTGCCCTGGAATACAACAAAATTCGATCATTGACTCTGAACTATTTCTATCACGTTAGCCAATTAGGAGTAGGAGTGAAAAAGAGTGAAAAGGAAGTTGATGATGATGATGATGATGTTCTTGATGGAAGGTGTAAAAAGAATGGAAAATAAACAATAAAAAAAAAGTAGAGGAAAATGAACAAGTGCGGACCAGTTCGCGTTCCAATGATGTCGATGACCTGTTCGTTCGTTCGTTTCTTTATTCTCTTGTTCAATGTGTATATGGCGGGCTTGTCGCATCAGACTCTCAAGAGTCAGGCTCTCGAGTTGATGCACCAACTTGTTCTTTTGCCACGAACTACATAATCGTTTGTTCAAGATGCATAGTTAACCATCATCCATGCCTACGGAAGTGGAACATTACTTTAGAAAAAGCGTCAAAAACTTCTTTTTCTTTTCTCTCCGCTTCTTGAATCTGCTCTTATTTTCGCAAAAAAAAAAACAAAAACAAAAACTGCTAAACCATTTCGTCCGTTGTAAATAAACATGTGCCCTGGTGATTTGTTTATTTCTCCCTGCACCATTTCCGTATTTATCAGATACATTCTCATACTGTATTCTTTTGTTATTTTTAAATTAATTTTGTTAATTTATTTTTTAATTCATTTTATTTATTTTTAAACTAACTTTATTTATTTTTTTATTTATTTTATAATATTTTTTACTTTCTTTTTTGTTACAAGTCTAGACAGTTTCTGTCAAGTTTCTAATTAGGGGGAAACCAGTTTCCACCCAGGACTTTCTGAGGGCGTCTATAGTTCCTAAAAGGGCGCTTTTTAGGGGCGTTTCTAGTTTCTAGCTAGTTTCCAAAAAGGCCCGTACTAGAGACGTACCTAGTTTCTAACAAGAGCCTCGTTAGTGACAATTCTAGTTCCTAATAGGGACCCAGTTAGCACCCTTATAAAAATTGGAAAAATTCCCAAAAAAAAATTCTTAACTCTTGTTTTCCTAACGCCACTTTGTTGTCACGTATAAACAATAATTTGCAACTGAAGGAAAAAGTTTCTTCTTTTCTTGTTTTTGCGGTTAGAATATGAAACGTACACATTTGCCGTGCCCACTTAACTCACTAATTGGACATTATGTATAAAAGCTCATAATTCCGAATACAATTTGCGAGCATGTTTATTATATATCTTTCGAGCGTAAATTATCGTCGGCAATGTAAGACTGACTTGTCTTCTCTCCGGAAATTCAGTCGATTCTTAGAATTAACACCACTGAATTAAGAAAACATATACGGTAGATGATGAATTTTACCGTATGTACAATATAATTTCCTCTGCGTGTCACTTTATATCAGAAAAAATAATTAAGTAATTTGACGAGCAATTTAACGAATACCACAAATAATTGCGCAATGGAAATAATTACTAATTTCGTAGTCTTAAGAAATTAGTTTTCAATATTGACTTTAAAGTAAACAATTTTTTTTATTTATTTTAAAATTTTCCTACTTGACTTTAATTTAAATTGCTTTTTAGATTATTCCACATGGTCCTAGTTTAAATACGGATTTGGTAGGTATTCACCTAGTTTTCCCGATTTCTATACTAAAATTAGCCCTATGTTAAATCGATCAATCTACAGGGTTGCCACAGGTGAGAGAAATCAGGGAAAAGTCAGGGATTTTTATTAAAGTACTAGAAAAATTTAAATTTTCGAAAAGTTACAAATTTGAAATTCAATTATTTTCAAAATCAATAAAATCTTCGCAAAAATTCAATTATATTCAAAAATTCTTAAAAATTCTGGTCAAAAGTATAATTATTTTTAACAATAATAAAATTCTTCTCCAAAATTCAATTATTTTCAAAAATTTTAATAAAATTCTTGACATTCAATTATTTAAAAAAAAAATTTCCTTAATTCAATGATTTTTAATATCTACTATTTTAATAAAATTTTTCAAAAGAATTCAATTATTTAAAAAAAATTTTTGATAAAATTCTAAGCAAACATAAAATTATTTTTATAAATAATAAAAATTTCACAAGAATTCAAGTATTTACAAATTTTTTATAAATTTTTTCGCAATAATTGTATTACTTTCATAAATAATATTTTTAAAAAGATTGAATTATTTTCATGAATAATAAAACTCATCATAGAATTTCAAGTATTTTGAATACAATTTTAATCGAACTCCTCGAGGAATGTAATTATTCTTAAAAATTTTATTAAAATTCGTCGAAAAAGTTTTAAGAGTTTTTAGTTTAAGAAACATTCATTTATTTAATAAATTATTTATTTTTGTATGTATTTCACTAATTGAATTCTCGTAGAAATTTCTAATAGAAACTGATTTAAAAATGAATTTCAGTTAAAATTTTATATGATAATTGAATATTAAAAGAATTATAGTCTGAATATTTTTAAATAATTGAATTAATGTGAAAAATTTTATTACATTACAAAAATAATTGAATTCTTGAAAAGAATTTAATTAAAATTTTTGTAAATAATTTAATTTTTCTTGAAAAATTTTATGGAAATTTAAATTAGTATAAAATATAAAAATATCAATCAAGATCGTTATCTTTATGTTTTATAATAATATTTTTATAATTTGTTGAATTTCATAAAAGTTTGAATATGAATTTTTCGTAAATCTTAATTACTATAGAAAAATAATAATGATTGAATATTTATTCAAAAATGAAGTTATTGATGTTTTCAAATAAATTTTTAAATTAAAGTAATTCGTAAATATAGATGCAAATTTTTTTGAATATCTAATCATTTTTAGAATGAATCCTGAATATTCTTTAGGAACAAGGAAAAATTCAACATTTTGTCTGGAAATCAGGGAAAATCAAAATTAATTTTTTGTGGCAACCCTGCTTTAATGTAATATTTTCCAACTTACTTTTTAAATACTTAAAAAAATCGATTACAAATATTTCCAAACCAATTGTGTAATAATTAAACATACACATTATTAGTATTATTGTTTACATGCTAAAACAATGAAATACTTTAACGATAATAAAATGTTTTATACAGTAAAGATGACGATGCATTTCAATGACGCAGTAATTTACTAAAAACCTCATTAAAGTTTTTTTTTTCCCCAACCATTTGTAAAGAATGTAATTATTTCTCGCGCGCTTCTTGTACCCGGAGCCAAATTGCAAATTTTTTTTTCCACCACGAATTAATTACTATTATAAAACAAAGCGAATTTGGAACGCGCATTTTCCTTAAATGACAATGTTACACTTTTTTTTTCTCGAAATATATATAGATCACTGTGACAGCAAACGTGAGACAAATAAAAATGCAAAGAAAACAAACATTTTCTCTCCATTATAAAATAAGATTGTAGTGCTAATTATACATTTTGTGGTAATTTAATGGTAATTTTAGAACACTTTTTTTTTATTTACATTACTTATGAAAAATTATCTTAATAAAAAACTATCTTAATAAAAAATTATCTTAATAAATTATTATTTTAATAAATTATTCGAAATTAGTTCTAAGAAAAGGTAAATAATTTATATTTAATAATCAGTTTTTCTAAGGATATCAAATTGAGACAAAAAACGAATTAAAATGTTGCTTCGTAACACTTTCGATTCGTTTTTTGTCTCAATTTGATATCCTTAGAAAAACTGTGATAATTCCGGGAAAAAAATTAAATAAAATTAAAAGTTACTAATTTAAATGAATATGAATTAAAAAAAATAATTTTTTTTCTCATCTAAAGAAAGTAAAAGGGGGAAAAAAATTAAAAATTAGAGATTTTTAAAGGTTTCGGAATGATTATTGCAAAAACATACCCATCGCCGTCGAGAGTGATGGCAGTGTCGGCGAGAACTCGTAGAACGAGTCCAACCGTCGCCCTGGCATTGCAGTCTATTCCCAACAGACAACTCTCCTCGGCATCCTGTCTTCCAGTACAGGATACCACGACGAGATATCGCGTCCTGCCAGGATGAACAGACTCCAACTTGACTGCCTGAAACACAAAACGAAGAAAACAAAAATTATATCATTTCCCCGTTAATCATATTGATAAAGTACTCATTTATTAGGGTCAGTCCATTGACTTTCGTCTGAGAGTCGTTGCGACCATATTTTAAAAAAATCTAATTTTCATATATGTGAAACTCGATGATTTTCTGAGTACATTAATCATAATATTATGTTACAAATTTTATTCCGTACAATAATATTAATTATCAAAAGTAGGTGGTTCACGATGTGATTTCGTAACCTTAAATTTTTCAACTTTTTAAAAGACGTTATTATTCAAAAACTATTAAATATTAAGGGTTGGTACTTACCACAAATATAAATCTTTCCATTCTGCACATTCTAACGACCAAAATGAACTAAAAATTTTATTATTTGTGGACGAAAATTGATTTTAAAAATTTTTTTATCCAAAAAAATTACACTTTTTGTTTCACTTACAACTTTTTTGTCGGACCTCAAAAAAATTTGGGGTTTTGCAAATATTTCTTTAAGAACATAATTTATCTTCTATTGAAATTTGACGAAGGTGTTTTTCTTCGTTCTCAAAATAATAATTATAAAAAATTTTGTTCAAAAAGGTTAATTCTAAGACTTGAAGTTGATATTGACACTAAAATAACAATGCTTGTTGTTTATTTCAAGCATTATAATTAACCTTTTTGAACAAAATTTTTTATAATTATTATTTTGAGAACGAAGAAAAACACCTTCGTCAAATTTCAATAGAAGATAAATTATGTTCTTAAAGAAATATTTGCAAAACCCCAAATTTTTTTGAGGTCCGACAAAAAAGTTGTAAGTAAAACAAAAAGTGTAATTTTTTTTGGTAAAAAAATTTTTAAAATCAATTTTCGTCCACAAATAATAGAATTTTTAGTTCATTTTGGTCGTTAGAACGTGCAGAATGGAAAGATTTATATTTGTGGTAAGTACCAACCCTTAATATTTAATAGTTTTTGAATAATAACGTCTTTTAAAAAGTTGAAAAATTTAAGGTTACGAAATCACATCGTGAACCACCTACTTTTGATAATTAATATCATTATACGGAATAAAATTTGTAACATTATATTATGATTAATGAACTCAGAAAATCATCGAGTTTCACATATATGAAAATTAGATTTTTTAAAAATATGGTCGCAACGACTCTCAGACGAAAGTCAATGGACTGACCCATTATAATTTATACCTACAAAAAACAGAAAGGTAGGAGCTGAAAAAAATTTTTTTTTAAACTTTCTTTTTAAATATTTCCTCTTTTTGTTGTTTTTTTCTTTCTTCTCCTTTTTCTATTATTTCTCTTTCTATTTCTTCTTCTATTATTTTTCTTTTTACTGTTTTTTCTCTCATTCTCCATTTTTATCCCTTTTTCTATTATTTCTCTTTTTATTCCTTCTTCTCCTTTTTAATTTTATCCCTTTTTTTTATTATTTTTCTTTTTCTTCTTTATCTTCTCTTTTCTTGTTGTCCTTTTTTATTTTTTCTATTTCAATTCTTTTTTTTCTTTCAATTTTTCCCTTTTTATTATTTTTTCTGTTTCTATCCCCGTTTTTATTAATTCTCTTTTATTCTTTCTTTTCTCCCCCTTTTCTATTTTTTCTCTTCTTATTATTTTTTCTCTTTTCATTTTTTTTTGTTTCTTTCCCTTTTTTTTATTTTTTCTTCTTTTTTTATTCCTGTTTTTATGATTATTCTTTTATTCTTCATTCTTGTTTTTCTTTTTTTATTAAGTCTTCTTTTTTTCCCTTCATTACTTTTTCTTTATTTCCCTTTTTTTCTCACTTTTCTTTTTTATTTCCTCCTTCTTGTTTTTCCTTTTTTTATTTTTATTCGTTCATTTTTTCCTTTTCTCTAATTTTTTTTCTTTTTGTTCTTTTTCTTTCTTTCCTTCTAATCTATTTTTTTCTGTTTATTCTTCTTTCATATTTTCTCATTTTATTATTTTCCTTTGTTCCTTTCTAAAAAAAATTGAAAACAAAAAATAAAAAAAGATAGAGAATATAAAAAAGAAAATTTGCTTTTTTTCTCTTTCTTTTCTTTTTCTCCTTTTTTTGATTTTCGAAAACATATTAAAGAACCGAAACAAATAAAATTAAAAGAAAATTTACGAAAATTGGTCCTCGCGATTTCACACAAGGAAAGTAGCAGTTCATGTATTATTCCCTCTGGTAATTACAACTACTGCTATCACATTCACTTAACCTACGATCGATTCGGGTCAGCAAATTTCCGATTGAATTCGCGATAAATTACATGTCAGACAGTGGCTACACGCTGATCCTAAACACTAAATGCCCGCAAGTTCCGCAAATATCTGTCGACACACGCCTAATTAATTCGACGAGGAAAATTTAAGGAAAGCATTATTCTATCTGGATACAATCAAACCTGGCCTAAAACTGGCTCAATTCGGGGTCAAACCTGGTACTATTCAGGATTCGATCGAAATTTCAGCATTGAATTCGATTTAGGAGAACATAGTCATGGTTGGACCCCCTTTCATTCGAACTAAAAAATGTTATAAACAAAGTTGAAAAGGTGGTCCAACCCTGACTATGTTTTTTCCTACAATATTTGATAACCTAGAAAATAAATTATAAATTGATAAAAAATAAAAAAAGTCAGGGTCCAACACTATGTTTTTTCCTACAATATTTTAATTAATCACTCTAAAAAATAAATTATAAATTCTTAAAAAATATATAAAACTAAAAAAATTTCAATTTATATATAAATATAAAAAATAAAATAAATAATATTTAACTAAATACTAAAATAAGAATTAAAAAGAAAATAATTAAAAAATGCCTGATACTGTTCAGAACTCAGGATTAAATTTTCTAGTTGCTTAATTAAATTCTCAATAATAAATAAAGTACTCTAGACAATAAATTAAAAACAAATAAAAAGTATACAGAAAATAAAAAAAGTAAACTTAATAACAAAAAAGAAATTATTTACTTTACAATAAATTGACCTCTAAATGGAAAATCAGAAAAATAATCGAAAGTACAAAATGATGAATAAATATTTTTTTTCGATTAAAAAGTGGAATTTTGTATGTACATCTACATCGAGAAAGTGAAACGAGAAAAAAAGATCCTCAGAATTCACTGCATTGGCGATACAGAATAGTATTGACATCAAGTTTATAAACTCAACACTCATGGATTTGCACTGGTTTTATATTATGTCTATAAGAGAGATAAGACACTACCGTCCAGTATCGCCTTCTACGGTAAATGCAATTAGACAAGGCTACTTATCGAGAAAGGCCAAGTGCAACTATTTTTTTTTTTTTGCTTTCATTAAACAACTTTGAAAACTAATCCTGACAAAAAAAAGGAACGAATTTCTCTATTTTTAAAAATAAATTATCCCTCGCGGCCTTAATTTATAATTATAACTTTTACTACATTACCACTTTTACAAAACTTTTACTAAATACTTTTCTTCAAATTTCAGTGAAATTAAGATGCCACTTGATTTCTAAATTTCTATATATAAAGAGTGATTAACAAGTACAGGGGGAGGGAGGAGGAGTAAAGAAAAAAATTTCGCGCGAGAATAGAAATAAAAAAAAACCTGTCCTCCCTCTTATATTTAATTATTATTTAATTAATATTTTTATTTTTATTATTATTATTTTTATCATTAATGATATTATTATTATTATTTATTATCATCATTATTATTATTATTATTTTTACGTTTAATCTAATTGCTATTATAACACTACTAATAGTATAATAATAACAAAATAGGGCCAGGCCAGGCCCAGGTCAGTCAAAATGTTTCCTTTCATATTTAGGCCAATAGTTAATTAATTAATTATTTAATTAATTAATACTTATTTACATTTCTTTTGAATTTGCATTTTATCCTTTATTCGCATTTTTATTTTTTCGTAATTGCCGAACTTGGCTTCAATCTGGTAGAAACATTTCCCTGATCTGGGCCAAGATTGGCCCTACATTGTTTATTATTCATTTAACTATTATTTATAATTTTTTTATTAATTATTTAATTAATAGTTATTGTTATAGCAATAATATTAGTATAATAGTAAAATAAAGTAAGGCCAGGCTAGGCCCAGGACAGGCTGAATGTTTCTTTTCAAATTTCATCCTTTACTCAAATATTCTTATTATTACTATTATACGATTACTATTATTATTGTTAGAATAATAACATAATAATAATAAGACATTAATAAAATTTCGTTATTCATACTTTAAAGTAGGACAAGGCTGGGCCCAGATCGGGCAAAATTGTTCCTCCTCCTAGATTGAAATAAATTTTTGTCAATTATAAAAAAAATTAAAAATACAAATGAAAAATAAAATACGAATCTAAAAAAAAAAAAATGGAAAAAAGTAATTAAAAAAAATTAAACCAAAAGTCGATGCAATGACAATCATTATAGTTTCTCCGCGCAAAGCAATGTTTAGTTAACACTTATTTTTTATTTGTAAATCCAAAGGTGTCTTTTGCTGGAGTGAAAGACAGGAAACGCGTGGCTGCAAATATAACGCAGACTTCTTTTTCTTTCTTTCTTTTCTTTTTTACTTTTTTTTTTTTTATTGAACTTGAGTCTGGGATTTGTTTATCTTTCTTCTCTTTAAGTGGACGACAACGACACTCTTCGGCAAATAAAAAAGAGTGGTTATGTTGAAAGCTGTTGACGTCCCATATGGAGGGCTTTTTTTCTCTTTGAAACAACATTAATTCGAATCAAAAGACGAAAAGAGGTTTTAAAATGAAATAAAATGACGATTTGAAAATGCTATTAAATTAATAGAGCTCATTGGGAAAAATATTCTCTTTTTAGGAAGTAATTTCATTTCGACACTTCTGAATGTGCTAACAAGACAAATTTATTTTATTTAATTAATTTAATTAAAGTAATTAATTAACTTAATTTAATTAAAGTAATTAACGCAATAAAAGTAATTCAATTAATTCAATTAGAAAATT